GGTCGAGGCTGCGGTGACCGGGAGCGGCCACTGTACTCCAGTCTGGGTGACAGAGTGAGATTCCAACTAAAAAAAAACCCAACAACAACGAGAAAAGGAAACAGTATTTTCAGAGATCTGAGAGAAGAAACAGATGCTGGTGAAGGAAGGAAGAGAGGACACAGGCACTTCCTGGGAATGTCAAGATGCAAGACAGAGTCTTTCAGAGACAGGGTCTCGCCCTGTGGCCGAGGTTGGAGTGCAGTGGTGCGATCACAACTCGCTGTAGCCTCCAACTCCTGGGCTCAAGCAATCCTTCGGCCTCGGCCTCTCAAGGAGCTGGCACTCCAGGCACGCACCACCATGCCTGGCCCGAAAGTAATTCTTCAGAGAAGATTCTCCACCCAGAACAGCCAACCCGTTCTCAGGCGGAAGAGGCAAAGAGGGTATCTGTTGTTGGCCATACAACGCCCACTCAGACTTCACCTCAAAAAATAAAAACAAACACGGACTCTGGTTTCTGGCCTCTCTTGAAAAATCAGAACACCTGGCCCCAGTGGGTCATCGTTCTGACGTGGCAGGCCCTGGTCAGAGCCAAGAAGAGGCAGTCCCCGCCACTCCCTAATGTCTCTCCCCTGGTCTTTCCTCTCATTTGCACACCAGAGGCGCCTCCCAGCTGTGCCCCACCTGACTGGAAAAGCCCTGCTGCCACCTGGTGGCCACCGTTCACATGACCGTCAATGCACATCAGCGATACTCCTGACACAGCCCCCACCATTCACCCTGATGGTCTCATTGAATCCTCTCGCCAACTCTGTGAGAACAGGAATTGCTGTACCCATTTTACAGATGAGAAAACAGAAAGGGTAAATTGAGAAATTGAAAACAGATGAGCAAGGTGAAGTGAACAAATTGTTCAGGATCCCAGAAGCGATGTTGTTTTCCTTAGTTTCCTGGGTATTTTAGACTCTGCCCTGCCACCTCCTACCTCGGCCTCCCGGGTTGTTGGGATAACAGGTGTATGTCACTGTGTCCGGAGGACTCTGGTTGTCTAAGGCCCACCGCCTCCCCAGGCCTGAGAAGGCCTCTGTCCCTTTTGCTTTCTCCAGTCCTACTGATCCCACAAGACCAGCACCTGCCCATCTCGCCCGAAATCTGCCCCTGACCACCCCAGCCTTTCCAAATCTCCCTCTGTCTGAGCATCTGTGAGCCCGGGGAGGTGAGGGAATCTTCCCTGTGGGCCACGTGACTGCTTGATGCTGGTGCGTTCTGACCCTTTGGCCAACTTGGAGAATCCCTGAAGGAGGGGCTTTGGTGTGCCCACCTTCTCGAGGATGCCCCTCCGGGCAGTACCTATTGAACGCCTAGCACGGAAGCACAGAGCAGAGGCTTGGGGAGCTTCCTGCCCTCGGGGAGCATGCAGCGCCTGTGGGTACAAGGAGACATGCAGGCAGAGCCTGGGTCTTCCTACAATGCTGCCCTGAGCGTGTCACTCCTCTACTTTAGACCTTCCCGAGGCTCCCCACTGCTATCAGGAGGTTGACCTGGCTGATTCCTCCCTCACCGCACAGGCCTCATGTTCAGCCCCCTGGCAAACCTTACCCACCGTTACCACTAGGCCTCCACATGTGCCCTGCCACATTAACCTAACCCTAGTCACCCATCGGGCCTCTGCTGGGGCGCTGCTTCTTCCAGGAAGCCTTCCTTGGCCAGCAAGCCTGAGTCAGAGTGGGCCCTGCCCCTGGGATCCAAGGCACCTGCCCATCCTGACACTCACACAGCACGTAATTGTCCAAGGACTACTGTCTCCCCACAATCCAGGCTCTGGGACACGGGGCCCATCTGCCTGATTTCTTGCTAAGCTCAGCTCCTGCAGGCACAAGTGTGTATAGGGGACACTCGCTGAATGAACACACATGACAAGCAAGGTGCCACTTTCCGTCTAGCAAGTGTCCAGCAGACACACGCCAGCTGGGGCATCCAGCCATCCGCCGGTGGAATCCCACGTGCTCCAGAGCTGCTCCCGTCTTTGAGGTCTTTTATTCCCAGCAGGGCACAGCAGCCACTCATGAGCTCATGCTTGCCATGTTAGCCAAGATGCGCTGGCCATTCTTTTGATATCGTAAGCTTGCCCTCACATCCAAGCTGAACTGGGGCCCTAAGGGTGTGAGAGGCATCCCCCCCATGGCAGGAGGCAGGGGTGTCCTTGTGTTTCAGCTCCTGGAAGTCTTGCTCAATTCACAGGGGGGACGTCTCAGCGAGTTCAGTGAGTGACAGGCCAAAGGGAAATAAATGAGACAATGCAACAGTTCTAGGCATCAGGAGAGCAAAAGGTGTATCACACAGGGTCCCTGGAGAAGTGCAAGCCAGCTCCAACTTCTCAATGCACATCTTCCACCCTTGGGTAACACTTCATCTGACCCCCAGACTGTGAGAAACCACGACCCATGTGCTCCTGCATACATTTTTATTTTCCCTCCATGAGATAGACTTGGCTCCCAGCATATTTCATTGTCCTCCCTCATGCCTTCAAGACATCCAATTTTGTTCAGGTCCCTTTTAATGGCACTTAATAAATATACATTCTGGGACCCAACAGAACGGACTGTCTCACTCCACGCTTCCCCTAAAGCCGCCTGTCTGAACCAGTTAGTGCAAAGCCCAGCTGGTGCACAGCCCAGCTGAGCTCACAGCCACGTGGCCTTGGGTCCATTCAATCACCCTTGGGTGTCTAGGGCAGAGATCCCATCAGAGGCACCTAGGAGTGCTCTGAGTCCCCAAGGTCCGAGCCACGTCCCAGACCAATTTGGTCAGAACCTAAGGTGGGAGGGAGCCTTCTCCCACCCTGGCTGAAGGCTGCCCCAGAAACCACAGGGAACGGCCCCACCGAGTAGCCCTAAGCTGGGGCTCCCGCATGGTGCAGGCCTCGAGAGGTATTTGGGGGACCCCACAGGATGTCCTATTTTATCGTATTTCCCTGTGCATCTTTTGTGTGTGTGTGTGTGTGTGTGTGTTGGAGTCTCACTCTATCACCCAGACTGGAGTGCAGTGGCCGCTCCCGGCCACCGCAGCCTCGACCTGCTGGGCTCCGGCAATCCTTCCGCCTCAGCCTTCCGAGCAGCTGGAACTACAGGCACGCGCTACCACACCCGGCTCATTTTGATTTATTGTAGAGATGAGGTCTCGCCCAGTTGCCCAGGCGGGTCTCGAACCCGCGGGTTCAGGCAATTCACTCACCTCAGCCTCCCAAAGCGCGGGATAACAGGCTGAGCCACCGAGCCCGGCTGCGTCTTATTTTTATATCAGACACGTGAGCAGGAAAGGGACAGGAGAATGAGTCGAGGGTCTCTCACAGCATGACCCTGGCGCCAGCAGGGACTATGGGGGCTGCATCTCTCCTGCGTGATGCTGGCGGAGAGGCCAGGTACAGCCGTCTGACGCAGACATGTGTACGCTTCTTCAAAGTCCTTCCGAACAGAGCCCACGGCTCAGGCACTACAGTTATAACAGATGATCCTGGAAATAACTCTCACTTGGATTGGCTCCAAGCTTTGTGGGCGGCATAAGCACTTGCCCCAGCTCTAGGGTGGTGAGTCCTGAACGGCTGCTGTGACCTGCTGTCCAGGGAGCCGGACCCCAGGCTGGAACGGCTTCCTCATGCAGATGTGACGTGTGCCCCCGCGGGAGCCTCTGTGTCCACCCACAGCAGGACGCCGCAAGCCCCACTGCCTCCTCTGGCCTGCGGGGCAGTCCTCACCGCCCAGCCTACCTGCCCTTCCGCCCTCCTCTGCGTTGCTTCCTCCAGGCTCACAGCCCCCAAGCCGCCCCCTCCCTGGCTGCCAGGGGCACACAGGAGGGCACCCTAAGAGGGCAGACTCCAGCCCCATGGCGCCGGGCTCGGAGCCTGGGCCAGGAAGCCGGAAGGCACATAGCCCCTCTGTCCGTCCACCTCCACCAGGCTCCACTCGGGGTTGCCCTTCTTGTCCTGGGGCTCCAGGATGGTCACCGGCTGGCCGGCCTGCAGACTCACTTCATGGCTGCTTCTGGCCACAAAGGGGTATGCCGCCACCACCTGAAACACATGAGCAGTGGTACAGTGGCACTCAGGGAGGGAAGACAACTCAGACAGCTTGCTCACTCCGTCCCCTCCCGCCCACGCTGGCCTCTGCTGGGCACTCACCTCCCCCAGTGCAGGCTCTGAGCTGAAGACAATGACCACACCCACTGAGACCACAGCTAACACCATGACCGGCCCCTCCAACACCTTGCTGGGTATTTTCCATAATTCTGTCCTGCCTTCGACTCCACTTGTCAGATAAGGAAACTGAGGATCAGAGTAGTCAAGGAACTTATTCAAAATCACACAGCAGTGAAGCTAGCACTGTCTGACGTCTGGACAGGTGCTCTCCATCTGCACCTGTCACACTGCTCAGCAGACCCAGCACCTCATCCTCTCCAGACCCAAGGGCTTCATCTGCCCAGGTCAGTTTACCAGCTTGGAGCAGAGACAGGGCTTTGGGCAACCTTGTTACTTTTTACGGAAAAGCCCTGAAGCAAACTGAAGGGGAGGGTGTTTATTAATTAAGCTACTATTTAACCTCTCTAGGCCTCAGTTTCATCATCTGCAAAATGGAAGTTGTTACCTTCTGCCCCAGGTCGTTGAAGGACTTGAATAAACAAAGGCAGTGCTGGGCTTCACACAGTGCCTGGTACATAGTAATTGCTCAGTAAATGCAGGGGCTTTGGCTCTTTTTACCATTCCTGTGAATACCAATGGCCAAGCCTTGGGAACATTCGGCAGCGTGGGAGGACTGGGATAGCCCCATGTAAGCCCACAGCGTGCCCCAGGGTCAAGGAAAAAAACAGCTGATGTGTCTGGGCAGAGGGTCAGCTGAGCTCCCCACAGGAGCCCTGGGGGAGTTCCCTGAAACGCCACCACACAGCCGGGGTGGGGCAGCAGGGGCAGCCTCACACCCTCTCCAAAGGGACTAGGACAGGGCTGGGTGGGGCTGGGGGCTGAAGGTCCCCCTGGGTCCTTTGAGCCCTGTGTTTTACTTCTGCCAAACTGAAAGACACTGGTCCAGGAACCCTCCCAGGGGTGTGGCACAGCCACTGCCAGGGTGACCCTGTCTATGCAGCCTCACGTGGTCTGGCCTTCGGCATCCTTGTCTGTCCAGGTCCCAGGTGCTCACACCTCCTGGGAAGCTCCCTGACAGCCGACAGCAAGTATGAAGCAGCCTCTGTGTGCTGGGTCATCATGTACCCAGTCAGCCTGACGGCCCCATCCAGTCCTAACAATGCCCAATGGAGGACCCTGCCTGTAAGCCAATCCCCTATGCCCCCTTCCTTCTTTCTTTCTTTCTTTTTTCTTTCTTTCTTTCTTTTTTTTTTAATTTTGTTTTTTGAGTCAGAATCTCACTCTGTCGCCCAGGCTAGAGTGCAGTGGCACACTCTGGGCCACCGCAGCCTCAACCTGCTAGGCTCAGGCGATCCTTCTGCCTCAGCCTTCCAAGTAGCTGGAACTACATGCATGCGCCACCATGCCTGGCTAATTTGTTGATTTATTGTAGGGATGAGGGCTCACCATGTTGTCCAGGCTGGTCTCGAACCCGCGGGCTCAGGCAATCCTCTTGCCTCTGCCTCCCAAAGTGCTGGGATTACAGACGTGAGCTACCACGCCCGGCCCAGTCCCTTTCTTAAAGACATAGTTCACATGCCATAACAAACATCCTCTTGAGAAGCACAGTCAGAGGGCTTAGTACATTCATGGAGTTGGGCACCTATCACACTATCTAATTCCAGAATATTCTCAGTGCCCCTGAAGGACACCTCATCTCAGTTAGAAGTCACTCCCCAGCCCTGGCCAACGAAGCCACCTCTGTCTCTGTGGATGTGCCCATTCTGGAGGCATTCTGGAAGCATAAGGGAACGGGCTTATAGGCAGGGTCCTCTACTGGGCATTGTTAGAACTGGATAAGGCGGTCAGGCTGACTGGGTACATGGTGACCCAGCACACAGAGGCTGCTTCATACTTGTTATCGGCTGTCAGGGAGCTTCCCGGGAGGCATGAGCACCTGGGACCTGGACAGACAAGGATGCCGAAGGCCAGGCCACGTGAGGCTGCACAGACAGGGTCACCCTGGCAGTGGCTGTGCTGCACCCCTGGGAGGGTTCCTGGATCAGTGTCTTTCAGTTTGGCAGAAGTAAAACACAGGGCTCAAAGGACCCTAAGTGGAAGCCCATGAGACGCGGCCCTTTGTGCCTGGCTTGGGTCTCCCAGTGCCAAGTCTTCTAGTTCACCCACGTGGTGGCAGCTGTCAGCGTCATTCCTTCCCATGGCTGAATAATACTCCACCATGTGGAGGGACCGCATTGCGTTTGTCCATCGTATTGCTGGACACTTGGATCGTTTACACCTTGGGCTTTCACGAATCGTGCTGCCGTGAATATGCGTGGCCGTTTCTTCACTGCCTTTCAAAGACAGACACCCTCACTGAGGCCACAAGGCCCTGCTGGCCTGGCCCCGTCCGTCACTGCACCCAGCCCCTCCCTTGTCCCTGTCCACACTGGCTTCCTCAGTTTGTCACGCAGCCCTGCCCTCTCCTGCCACGGAGCCTGGGCACAGGCTGTGCATGCCCTCTGCAGAGTTCTTCCTGCTGTACCCCGGTGTACTCCCTTCATCCAGCTAATCCTCTCATCTGAGAACAAGCACCCTTCCTCTCACAAAACCTTCCCTGGCCCTCAGCACACCAGGGCCCTGGCACTAACCGCTACAATCAGCTTTATCGTTATTCACACAATTATTTTATCAGTCACTGCTTTCCTGCCCCCAGACTACAAGTTTGAGGAAGGCAAGGACCAGGATTCACCTTGTCCATCATTTTATCTTTCTCATATCCAGTGCAGTGGTGCAAATGTTGAGCGACTAATGAATGAATGAATGAACAAATGAATCCTGGCTGCCCTGAGGGCAGGGGAACGGGTCGGCTCTCTGTGGCTGCTCTGGCAGGGCTGGCAAGCCCCTTTCTCTGGGTCGCCCCTGCCAGGACGCTGGGGCAGCACTGACCCAGGCCCTGGCCTTGCAGCCCCTGGCCTTGCAGCCCCCGGCCCTCTCCCACTCACCTGGGCCACAGTGGGGATGGAGCGTGCTGGGGCTGGGGCAGGCTGTGGGGTTGGATGTCGGGGGTTTTCCTGTGGCCCAGCTGGTCCCCTGGGCTCCTCCTCAGTGGAGATCACGTGGTACGGCTGCAGTTTCCCGGCGGGCACATACCCTCGATGTCCTGCAGAACAACAGAAAGTCAGAAAGTCGTCAGGCTGCTGGCCACCTTCCCACCTCTTTCAGTGGTGGAGAGCCTCACCGGATGTGAGTGCCTTCCTCTCAGTGTCTCCACACCCAAGAAGACCTCAAAGGTCATCTAGAAACCCGAACCCCCCACCCTTCTGAACTCACTGGTTCTAGCCTCTGCCTGCATACCCCCAGTGATGGGGGCTCATTCCCTACTGGGGAGCCCCACACCCTCTGATCAGCTCTGACGGAGATAAAAAGTGTCCTTGGACTGGCACGAAACTGTTTCCTGTGCTGGCACCCTGGTTCCCGTGCTCCCCTGCTGGCTGCCCCGGAAGTTGTTCCTCTCCAGGACTGCCTTCCCAGAAGGCAGAGTCACCTTCCTCCTCTCACGAGCACCCTGTTCCCTCTCCCCTTACAGCAGAATGGCGCTGTGCTGGCTGCTGTGGCTGTGAGTGGCTACGCTTCCCGAGGGCTGCTGGGCTCCAGAACCGCATCTGAGCTTGTCACCTGAACGTTGGTCAGCTTTATTATGACCAGAGAGGCTCCTTGATGGAGGTTACATGGCCAATGAAGGCTGAGCTGGACCCAACCCCAGCCCTCCTGGCCACAGGGCCCTTGCTCGACCTCTTTCCCTGGTTCCAGCGTATGAACATGATTTGTCTGATTTGTGCCACTTTCTTCATTTTAAAAAATGGACTTACTTTTTAAAACTTGGTCTTGGGCCAGGCTCGGTGGCTCAGCCTATAATCCCAGGACTTTGGGAGGCCGAGTTGAGAGGATTGCCTGAGCCCACAGGTTCAAGACCCACCTGGGCAACTTGGTGAGACCTCATCTCTACAATAAATCAAAAATTAGCTGGGTGTGGTAGTGTGCGCCTGTAGTTCCAGCTACTAGGAAGGCTGAGGTGGAAGGATTGTCGGAGCCCAGCAGGTCAAGGCTGTGGTGGCCAGCCAGGAGTGTGACACTGCCCTCCAGCCTGGGTGACAGAGTGAGACTCTAACTAAAAAAAACAAAACAAAACTTGGTCTTGTACTGTATAATAATGTGATCACAATCATGGGCTCACAGTTCAGTGATACTTTTCTAATATACTTTAAAATACTTATGTAACAATTACAAGCAATTATTCAGAGGGTAAAACTGTCTGGGCGCCCCCTCCAATGCATCCCGTGAGACCTCACTCCCTCACCCGGGTTCCGCAGTGCTTCACGGGAGGATGCCCTGCTGGCTGTCTTGCTTGGGTTCATGGTTCACTGGCCTCCAGCCGGTTGCGCCAGGCCCCAGGCCCGAGCAGTCACCCATGGCCATGACCCGTACAGAGGGACAGGACAACACTCCCTTGTTCTGGACTGCAAGTCACAGAATTGGGATCCGGGCATTCCTTCTCTGGGTACCCTCACCTCCCAGGGTGATGATGGGGCCCTCCCCAGATGTCTCTGTCCATCTGGGTGGTCTATGGGGCCCCTGAGACTGGGGTCTGGTCTTACCAGCACAGTGCCCAGCACACAGTAGGTGCTTAATAATGGGTCTTGCAACAAAAGCTAGATTCTTCCTGTTGGCACTTCACACACCACTGAGTCATCCTACGCTGACTATGCCCCAGCCCTGCCTTCTTCCCGTCCTGGTCTCGCACAGCTAGACTTTGGCCCACGGGAGTGCCCAGGTCTCTGCACCGGCTTCTGTGGGGAGGTTTTCCCAGTAGGAGAGGAAGGGTGCAGAGAGGCCAACGTACCCCCAGTGTCCACCAGCCAGCGGCCGCTGTTGCCTTTGGTGTCCTTGTTTTGAAGGAGGGCCACAACCTGGCCCCGCTGCAAAGTTAGGTCCAGAGTCCCAGCCCCGCTGATGTTGCTTGTCACCTGGAACAGCTTCCCTGGGCCATATCTGCTCAGGAGAGCCTGCACCTGGCGTTCAGACCCCGGAAGGAGCGGCTGGATAGAGACAGACACAGGTGCTTGAGAAAATGTGTCAGAGCCGACGCCAACGCTCGCCACATATGAAAGCCAGGAGTCCTGGCCTGGTTTTTTGTGCCACCGAAGGACTGATCCCAATCAGGGTGATGGTGCCTCACTGGCAGGTGGCTGCTGTTAGTATCCAAAGGTGTGTCAGAAGAAGCTTCTAGTTTCTGGAATTCTCTAGAATTCTAGCTTAAGCTCTGAAATCTCTCCGTTACAGAACTCCTAGGACTAGGCCCCCAAACCTGCCCACCACATCAAGCTAAGTTATCCTGCAGGAAAGTGCCTCAGACAGGTATCTTGGCCCTGGTAGACCGTGAGCTCCATGTGGGTGCCTAGCCCTGGCTACCTGGCACCTTATATTACCAGCACACGGCACCTATGGCAGGCCTCGCTGCCCACGAACCAAGGCTCTCAGGCCTCACTGTCTGTGCACGAGTTCTTTCCTTCCATGAGTTTCATCCTCAGTGTTTATGACAGGCCTCTCACTCACCGGCTCTGAGGGCAACCTCACCAATGGTTAAGAAACACAGGAGGGGGTTTGGCCAGGTTGGACACTGCTGCCTAGCTGGGGAGACAGCCTCGGGGTGCCTGCAGTTCACCCGAAACCTCCTGGCACTGCCTGTTTCCCATCCGGGGATGCTACTTCCAGCAAAAGCATCAACAAGAAGAGGCTCAGGTGACTATCTCCTTTTTGTAAAACCAACAAGAAACTCAATTTCCGTCTACTGCGACTAGAGCTACTCTCCTCTCCCTCTACCCTCCTCTACAGATGTACATTCCCCATGTTCAGTGTGGCTATTTCTAGGGAGCGGGTGTCGGGGGTGGGCCAGAAGGTGGAGGCACCCTTTAGGACATTTGGGCATAGACTCTGCCTTATCCCTGCCCCCACGGGGATGACAAGTCAGGATTAAGAACCAGGAGAGTCCGACATTTCTAAACAGTCCTTAAACAGAAGGATAGAGACAGGGTGGCTTTCTCTAGAACAGCAATGCTGGACTTTAATGTTGGGATGGCGGTATGAGTGAGTGTGACAGCCAGTGGTGTAGACACAGGAGTCTTCTTTCTCAAGCCTGACCCGGCCTTCTGTTCACAGAACGGCGGGACCCCGAAGGGTAAGTGAAGAAGCTGCCAGGCCAGTCCTGTCCCAGGCCATGGCGCTTCCCTGGGTTCAGTGCCCCTTGCCAAGCAGTCAGAGATGCCTGGGAAACTGGTAGGAGGGGAGGCTTATGGGAGGGGAGGCTGGAAAGAGGAGTCTCGACCACCCATCTGCAACACACACAACCATGGATGTTTTCCATGTGTTTCTTCTTTTTTGCTTTTCTGTGTCTTCTTTTTTTTTTTTTTTTGAGTTGGAGTCTCACTGT